AGCACCAAGGTCACCTGCTCTGTGTAGCATTTCTGTAGAAGCGAAGTGGTTCATGACATTTTGAATGTTCGGGTTAATATATTATTATTATTATTGTATCCCCTGCGATGAATTCGGCGGGGATACTATGGTTTCATGTCTGTCCAGCCGCCGCCGCCGCAGACACTTTCCCTCCTGCTCTATAACTCGACCCCTAATTGACCTAGCGTGACCAAACATAGTCTACTTACACATCTTGGGGAGAAGGTGCGCAGCATACCAAAACCAGGTCACTACGACCTTTATTTGACCTTTACCTTGACCTTGATCATATTTCCCTTCCGCTCTATAATTCGGCCCCTAATTGACCTAGCGCTGCCAAATTTGGTATACTTACACATCTTGGGGAGAAGGTATGTCGCGTACCAAAACCAGGTCACTACGACCTTTATTTGACCTTTACCTTGACTTTGATCATATTTCCCTTCCGCTCTATAATTCGGCCCCTAATTTACCTAGCGCTACCAAACTTGGTATACTTACACATCTTGGGGAGAATGTGTGTCGCGTACCAAAACCACATCACTGCGGCTTTTATTTTACCTTGACCTTGACCTTGATCATATTTCCCTTCCACTCTAACTTGGCCCCTAATTGACCTAGCGCGACCAAACTTGGTATACTTACACATCTTGGGGAGAAGGTGTGTCGCGTACCAAAACTAGGTCACTGCAACCTTTATTTGACATTGACCTTCATCATATTTCCCTTCCGCTCTATAACTCGGCCCCTAATTGACCTAGCGCGAGCAAACTTCATATACTTACACATCTTGGGGAGAAGGTGTGTCGCGTAGCAAAACCCCTAAGGCAACCAATTTTAACATACTTGCACATCTCAATCAGATGAGTTGTGTAACAAACCTTTGTCTTTGTGACTTATTTAACTTTACCTACCTTCTACGTCCTTACAGAGATATTTCATTCATACTAGATCACGGGGGATACATATAGTGCCCTTTCTAGTTATAAGTAGTAGTAGCAGCAGCAGCAGCAGCAGTAGTATTAGTAATTGCCGTCGTCATCAATAGACCCATTCTTTATCATATTAGTAGGTATCACACACACACAAGATTTAATTGAGCTCACCTCTTCGAGGGGTGTAAACCAGACTTGCACGTTTAAACGTTGACCAGGCTCAAGGCAGCCGGCGGATGGTGCGAATTCAAACATCAAAGGCGCTGGTATCTTTGCTCGAATCTTCTTCTTAATGTGCATAGGCATGTGCTTGTCTATCTGTAAATATAGTATCTCAGGTAATTTATCACCATTAGCAGCTTC